AACAGTTTGCTTAATGCTTATGTAACTGTAATTTATAGTAGAAACTGAAGTTATATGTAAAACACTGAATTTCGTTCCGAAGTTTAGACGTTCTCTTGTTTACACACCTAATTATTTCCGCAAGTTCTGCATTAATTTCCGCGTAGAAGATTTTTTGCTTCAGAACAGATTTTTGCTTTGGTTTTATATGTTTCTTGAAAAATATACAGCGATTGTTTTATGCAAAGAGAAAACTGGAATCTACATATGTGTACGTGCAAATATTTATTACAATACGAATTAGTATTTTTTAATAGACTAACTCTTTCAAAAATCAATTATTCATTTCCTCATATATAGGTGTAATTCTTCTTTGGTCTGCCTTAATTTTTCGTTAGAATATATTATAAGTGCGTTTGTTCGGCATTTGACGAATATATACATACTTCATTACTTGATTTTATTGCGTGTACAATAAGAGATTTACGAAACTACATTTCACAGTTAACAGGTTAAGTAATTTCAAAATACATAATAATTATGAACAACGTTCGAAACAAATGAATATTGAGTTTAATCAGTGTGTTTCATTGCAAACATTTTAATCGTAGGTATTATGCAGTTGCGGCTACCTTGATGGTACCGAAATATCAGAAGCTGTTTCAGCGACCATACATTTATGCCAGAAAAACCTGAAGCCCGTGTTTTACGCGCCGGATATAGACATTTGTGAAATTAGTGATCATTTAACTAAAAAGGCAGATAAAAATGCGTCTTCTAGAAACGCTTTAGTTGAAGCAGCCCGTCTGGCTAGATCAGACATAAAACCGTTGTGCACATGTGAATCTTGCAAACATGGCGCACTTGTTATTCCTGGAGGATTTGGTGCTGCAAAAACGCTGTTAGTATGTCTACAAACAATAAAAAATACTGTAGCAGCTTAATTATTTTATTGCCTTTAGTGCCGTTGTCCTGTACAGTTTTTAAAAATCTATAAGAGATTGCCACATAGTACAGAAATTAAAATGATATTTCTAACACCATGTTTATAAGCACTTGTTGTTCAGAACTTAACAAAATGTAGACAACACAGTTATGACTTTAAAAGATTAATAGTGACAAGGTATACATGTATTATAAAATACCTTTATGTTTTATAGTTTTAAAAACAAAAGATAATGTTTGTATATTTTAATATGATATTTAATGATAAAAGTATAGTAAGAAATAATAAAGTTTAATATGATAAGGTCTGGTGCATACAAATTGCATATAACTTATTGTAGATATTAAATGACGTAGGACTACGACAATGGCAGCCGTCATAGAATCTAAAATAGCGTGGAGCTATTTAAAATATTGTCAAACAGCATCTAAAGATGCATGATATATTATAATAGTTAGATGTAATATCCATGGTAAATTCAACGAAAAAGAGCGTTAGAAAATTCTGTATTAAATTCGATTTTATGTTTATTTTATAGTTCCTTTTATTATGATAGAATCTCCTATATAAATACGTTGCTATACGAATATTCAATTCTCTTCACATCATATGTTAGCACACAAACAATTTAGATATAAATTGATTGTTTTCACTTGTGATTTACACGTGTTTCAATATGACCAAGACAGAAACGCGAGGTGTTAACTATATATTTTTTAAGATTTCGAGGTTATAGATTTTGTTGGCAGGAACAGCATGTTTCTATTGCCAAGTCAAAGGTAATCTAATAATCAGACTTTGAAAATGCACGTAAAATAAGATTTTCGAGAATATAATTAAAAAAATATAATTACAATAGAAAATATAATAGCTTTTCTTAAGAAAATATAAAAGGCACATTAGATATTTATATATTTTCTATATTTGTTTATATTATTAATATTTTGTGCAACTTTCAAGTTCTCCGTAAGTGGGCAAAAATCTGGAGTCTAATGATGACTTGTGGTAACATATAATAAGGTAGTAAATAGAGACAGTGCTGGTACGGAAAAAACCTATAAATGTGCGAGAATATACAAATTTAAAAAATCGAACAACTATGAATGAAAAATGACATACTGAACAACATGTACTAAGAAATGATCAAAATCATGCCTATGGACGTTAATATATCTATGTGAATTACAGAATGTCATTGAATTACGCGAATAACATAATTGAAATTTTGTTTTCACCTAATTATAAATATTTCATTGTATTAGAGGTCTACTGTAGAGATTATTCTACAAGAATAATTACATAAAATTAGGACCTTAATTAGTACGCCATGTAAAAAATGTATAGGCCTATTTAAAAAAATATTAGTGCACTTAAAGTTGCATAAAATATAACTTTGAAAAAGACCTCTTACTTAACACTTAGCTGTTGCAATTAAATTATCTTTTCTTCTAATATATTTCTCAATCGTGAAAAATAAACGAGTACGTTTCGCTTCTACGCGATAATAACATATGTATTTTTATGTTCTGTGTATTTTCTGAAGGAGCAATTTTGCTACAAAAGGTGCCGATTGCACAGTACATCCTGAGATAGAGAAAGTTATCGAAGATTTCTCTTGTGATAAGAAACCAATTGGAGCAATTTGTATTTCAAGTGTTCTTGTAGCAAGAGTGCTACAAGGCGTTAAAATTACACTTGGGAAAGAATGTGAGTTGCCAGAAAATATTTTATCCACTGTTCTATATCTATAAATATACAGCATGTTATATAAAATGTTACAACTATGTCTGTTAGAATGTGCTTTTACTTAAAGTAATCGTAGAATTTCTTAACCAAATAGTAGACCCCATTTAAACTACTTAACTTCATACAAATTTTTATCTATTATTTATATTTTGTAATGTATTTCATGAAACGTGTATGAAATATTTTCATTTTTATGCCTGCTACAGCTAATAGAGAGGTTTATTATTAGGTTGTCTCATAAGTTTGTGTCATGGTATGTTTATACTAAATTATACTTCTCGTGTTACGTTTTGTAATCACAGCGTCATACGAAGACTTGGGTGACTAAACCTTTATGCTTCAGCTTGGTAGAAGGTGTTTGAAAGAGATAGGTCGTAAAATTATAAGAATTTTATATTTAATGAAATATGATTTTATATATAGTAGAAAAATAAACGGTACGAACTTATGCGACGACATAAAGTCATTGTAAACTATCTAGAGATTTAATAAAATGTAAAAATATTATAGTAGATTGCAGTGGTTAAGAAATGATTTATATTTAAATATATATGTATCTGTCTCTATTAATTAACCAGTAAGTAAATTGTTTATGTTCTATAAAAAATATTAAAGTAACGTGTATAGAATTTATATAAAAATCTTTACAACAAATTCTTCGGATAATGTTGTTCGAATGTTATAATTGCTCACAGCGTTAATAAACAATTATATATCTAGCACCACCAGAAGAGTGGCCACACGCGAATGCTATTGAACAAGCTAAAAATATGGGTGCCAAAGTGGAAATGAAAGACGTAAAAGGCGTCACTAGAGATAAAAAGCATAATGTCTTCAGTACTCCGGCTTGGATGTACAAATGTGCCACTTACGCAGACATTCACAGTGGTATTGGAAATTTGATCGCTATGATGAAAAAGCGTATCGATTAGAATTTTTTATGACGTAGTGGATAGAAGTGTATACGTTAAGTGTATTTGTAACTGAGAAGTTTTGTACTGTAACGACTTGTAATCAAGTAATTGGTATTTATGCATACTTGTATTCTCTGCAGAAAATATAATGATCGTTACTTTCAAAAGTACTTAATTTTTCAATGGATGTTTATGTATGTGAAATATAATTTACTTACCTCCAGTGACGATGTGTTACTTAGAATTCGTAGGTAAAGATCGTAGGTTTTCGTATTATCGTGGTTTATGGAAAAATAACTTTATTTCGATATTCAATCGTGTCTCTTGTAGTGGAGAGAACAGTGTGAGACACAATCTTCGAAGATGCTTTTACTCGTTACTTGCAACGCTTAAAACAACCAACAACAACTGTAACAACAATAAACCGAGCTCTCTAACGAGGAAGTCGTATCAGTTTTTCCTGTTCTGAAACGTAATACGAGCCTCTGTCGTGTCTTTCATCGAAGATCTGATCGTGTTTTAGACTTTCTCGAAGAATGAAGAATTTTCAAAAAATTTCAGGGTATATTCGTGCGATAATCGCTTGCGCATTAAGCTGAACACAAGTGGAAGAGTCCGTGAGTACATATAAGTTTAATTTACATGAATAAAATGAACAATGCCACGTCGAGCCGATAAAAATTAAAAGGAGAGGTTGACAGTCTTTGTGAAATTGATGAAACGCACCGAGAGATTCTGCACTTGAAAGAAGAATACATACTTATCTACGACGGATCTTACGTTTACGTCTACTAGCTAGAAACAGAAATGAGGTCCACGAACGAATGCATGTTTATCGAATGAAGGTGGAACTGTTTATCCGGTTCCGCTTTAGTTAAAACACTAAAGAAAACGCCAGAGACAGAGCTGTATAATTTATTTACAACATTGGAACGCGAATGGATGCTCTGCGATTTTTCTCCGCTAGAACGAATACGCACCCTTCGATAACGCACACCTCGAGTCTCGCATTTTCACTCGTAAAATGATCACGGTGACGCAAGATCGCGCGTGCAGCAAGCACGCAGCTTGTGAACGAAGATTAACGCTGGTCTATGCCTGTGAGTCACACGCGTCTGGCCAAGACTCACTCTAGCATAACGAAAGTGCACGCGCAATGCGTCCGATCAATTTGAAATGTGTCCCTGAATCGCTGATAAATGAGTTTGCCGTGCTCTTCCGACACTGGGACGACAACTCGAACGTAAGAGCTCAATAATTAATCGATCGATAACAATAACCACCGATAAACTTTCCCTTTGTGACTAGGAATTTCGATTCGGAATGCTCCATCGTTTAGAATCTTTCGAAACAGCAGATACGACAGTACTCTTTACGAAAATTCTAATAATCGCTAATTCAGTTTCAATTAATTTGCATACATTAAATAATACAATTATTATTCTCACCGATCAATTAATGATTCTTTACAAACAGAATACAATTGACACCGAGCTATTCGAGGTTTCAGTTACTTTAATCAACTAAAGCTTGCCCGAATACGAATTAGCATTAAATATAGCAGCACACTCTTTTTATCGCTGTCAGTTCACGTAGAACGAGACGACTGTTAAATCGTAAAATTACGTGCTACTTTAAATCGATTCAACCGCTCCGACCGTAAAATGTTGTATCAAATTGAAATAGGTTTGCAATCTTGGAACGCGGAAATTAGAACGGAAGTTTTCGCGCTATTCAACCCAGCTCGGAGCATTTTCAACCGATTCAAAAATCCAAATTGGTTTGCAGTGGCTTGCCGATCGTTTCGAAACACGTGAACGTTCGCTTTATCGTTGCCCCTTTCATATTCAGCAGAAGTTCCTCCGATAGTAGGATACGACAGCACTTTTCAGACTTTGATTCTGATCTTGTGGCCAGATTCCGTGCGTGGGAGAAATCCCGAGATCCGCGTCCACACTACCACATAACGCGAGTTCCGGTGGACATTCAGCTGAGCGCCAGTAAGGGTTCCATGCTCATGCGAGATCTCCTGGCTTTGTCCTCTTCGTATTGCCTCATCTTTATCAGTTTCCTCTTGCCTTTGCTCTCCTTTTTCCTCGGTACTTCTGTCGTGGTGATGGCCTCTGAGTTCGTTTGTCCCTCCTCTTCTAGCATCTTCAGCGTTTCGATGATGTTCCTCGGCTCTGTTATGCGACCGGTCGCGCTGCCATTGTGATTGGCGTACACAACCGACAGATGAGAGAAACTGGACTTGGGTGGCGCGGTAATGTCAGCGAAATCTCTGAAGTTCGCGAAAAAGTCACCGCCACGAATTGGTTGAGGTTTTGGATTTCTGTAGTAGTTTGCACGGCCACGGTAATAAGGATTGTAGGAAGCATCGTCCGCTGAATACTCGTCGTTTTCTTTCTCTTCCGGGTAGTAAGTGCCACCTCGGATGACTCCGAAGTTGCCAGAGCCTAAGAGAGGGTGGCCGACGTCTTTTGCTGTTGTTGCAGTGGCTTGGTAACCACTACGGTCGCGTTGGAAGTATCCTAGGAACCTATTAGGTCTGTATCGTTGATCTGTGAAAGAAAGTCTGTGATTTGCGAAGAGTTCAGCAAACGAGGGGAAGAAATTTTGACTATCTGTTTCCAGACTTTTGTTCTCAAAATCTGATGCTTCAGTTTGAGTCGTCTCGTCGGTATTTTCTGCTTTCTGGTCACTGGAAGTGGTTTTCACGGTAGTAGGACCTGCCGTTTCGTCTTTATCTTCTGTCATGTCTGCAGGTGTTTCGCTCGTTGCTTTCTCCAGACTTTCTACTTCTTTCTCTTCTTTTTCATCTTTTTCTTCCTTTTCTTCTTCTTTACTTTCGGGGTCAGTGCCTGTAGCATCCGGCTCCATATATATGTCCGAATCGTCACCGTCATCGTATTCTTCATCTACGTTAGATGCAGACGCCACTGAGTCCTAGAACACACAGAAGATGTCCTTGTAACAACTTCAAATTTGAGTTTCTTTGTAAACAATTTTTGCTTTTATTATAAACAGATCTTATAATATTTGTAAGTCATTCATGTGTATAATTAGTATTTCTTTATGTAAATTAAACACGGCAAACTGAAAAATAATTTCCAACGAGTAACTACTTTATATTAACTAATCAATGGATGTATATTTATAAACACTAATATTTTGGTCAATTAGATTTTGAAATTTTAACAAAACTCATGCAGCTAAATTTTTTTATTCAATCGAGGTAGAAGGTATATTTAAAATTTCGCGTATTTGTTATACTGTTGTAAAATTTAACGTATTACAGTAGCTACTGCAAATTTAACACTGTAAGAGCGATAGCAGTCACTGATAATCGACTCCTCTGATTTATTTGAAAACAATCGTAACACGCAAGGTAATCAATGTCAAATGAAAATTTTTAATAACGTAACTAAGCTCGTAATAGTGTAATGCAAAGATAGTAACGTCAAATAATAATTGTTCCTGCTTGCCTTTGCTACAAAAGAATAACTCTGCGGAAAAACGGCCAAGATTTTCGTGATGCTTAACGTGTTAATGTGAAAGAATGGAATAGTAGAGAATTAGACTATTTAGTATTTGTGAAGTCAAACTGGTTCTTTACACTGAAAAGTGTATCTAATGGGATCTAAAGCATACAAGGAATGGTATATGCGACATAATTACATGTTACACTGTTTGGCGCATCGAACCGGTCCTCGGTCATATTTTCAAGAGCGTAACGAATACTTGATGGCAATGGTTTCTGACCACTTTTTCTGTGTTTACGTCTATCCCACGTAGTAAACGGTTATTTTCACATCTAAATTTTCACAATTTAAGTCTAACGAATTAAAAAGACATTTTCGTCGAAGATTGATTGCACTTTCCAGTTTAAGACAGGGACGCTCTAGCATTAAAGGAGAAGTCTTTAAGCAGTTGAGGCATAACGAAAATATGTAGTAGCCTTATTCGAATTTTATAAAATTATAAATACAAAAATAAGTTAACGAACAAAGATAAAAAAAACTGCAATACCATGATAAATAAAATTATTAAATAATTAAATATAACACTCTATAGATATTATTGTAAATTCCTTAATTAAGGTTTATTAGTACGTTATGTTTTGAAATTAAAAAAAAAATTATGACTAGGCAATTTTACCTCAAAAAATTGGTAATTTTTCTTTTTTCGCAGAATATACAAAATTCTTTATTTCTTGATAATATTGAATCTCTGACAATATTAAAAGTTATATCAAATTTGGAATTGAACAATAATAAAACAAGTTTGCAGTTTAAAGAATACAAATTCTGTTTGAAATGTTTATATCTAGACGCTACCATCGGTGCGGTTATCTAAAGCATCACTATTGCGAGGGTTAAACAATGGTAAACTTTCTAGACCGAAGAGATTGCTCTTTATTTTGCAATCATGATGCTGCAGAATTTTTCCTTTCTTTCGACATTAGTGTTACAATTTATACATTAATTTTCTCAAGATCTCTTGATGGTAATAAGTAAATAGGAGATTTTCATGTGAAATAAGAGCTTGTCGATGTGATGTAATAAAACAAGGATCAAGTTAATTTATAAACTTAAAAACGTAACAAACAAATTAATTTCCTCTCTTACTAAGGAACCTTCGCTTCTAATAAGTTGAAAATAAAGTGACATCTTTAAATTCTCATAAACATTTTCCTACCTTATGTTATATATACTCATATTTGTCGTCAATGCATAAACTACGCTGTCTGACAAGTTACAATTTTCGAACGATTGGTACTAGGTGAGTTCTCGTAGTGTTACATCACAAATTGTCCTGCTAAGTTGATCTTGCTAATTCTACCCTGTCTATAATTGAGATATCTCGCTCGTAACAAATGCAGGCATTATGTCGTGAAATATAGTCTTCAAAGACTAGAATGCGCAAACTTGTTTTTGTAAGATCATTTTTAAATACGGAAGCATTAATTACACTATATCGATTCGATTATACTTAACTGTGCCTTTGCATTTAATTCAGCCGTTCACTTTATGATCAGCTATAAGAAACGTACATACTAATAACAATGTTTTTTCATATTGTTTTAAAATTTACTGAAATTTTGTATATTTTATGTCTAAAAATAAAAAAAATTGTTCAATCAAAATGTCAGTAATAAAATACATTTTTATGTACAGAGTAAATGAGATTGATGGCCATATTAATCGACGGGGAATTTATTGCAGAGCCTAAATCAACTAATGTATGCACATTGCCTATAAAATTCATATTGACGAGTATTGAAATGCCAATTGAATAAAGAAGCACTTAAGTGACATTTGTTCCTGTCTGTCCCTGACGACAAAAACAAAAGTGCTTTTCAAACCAATAAACATGTGATGGGAAATGAAACAATTTACTGGATTCATTGTGCGGGCAGTAAGGTCTTGTTAAACGACAAGTCGAGATGGATAATGTGTGTGGAGGTACCTTTCGCGGCGCTCATTGACTGATCGCATAAAAGGCTAGGGGGTCTACCTAGTAGGACAACTCTACCGTGTCCTCGCCTTGACATTTAAGACATCTTCGTGTCGACGACCGGCTGCAAAACTAGTTATATAGCTGGTATCATGCATATGACGTGTACACGAGGCTGCGCCTATATCTGTGCCGTTTGGTATTACGCGTGCACCGTTATCTACTTAAGGAACGTGCACGTGCAGACGAGTGCAATACTCACGCGTCAATGTTAATACAGGGGATAATCGCTGGAATCAGTTGCGACACACCGGCAACACGCCTAGTATTGTTACAAATATGTCAGGTCAACACGGCGCGCCGTGATTACTACAGTTGATCACAAAAGTAGACGATCGCACTAGGTGCTTAGATGTTGTACGTAAAATTGTGGTATGAACTGATAATTTAACCCTTTGTACTCGATTTATTTTGAGTGTTGTTGAGTATAAATACGTATTTATTTTTAGGGAAATGAATTGAAGTAATTTACAGCGGTAGAGTTCAACGTTTTATACTTACTTTATTTATTTATTATTATTATAAAATTTAATTTTGATAACCTCTTAAAGTGTGGTACTTTTTAAAACAATTTCCAACGTTCTGTAACAAAGTATTGTCATCTCCAGCATGATCTCTGTGGATCGAATTTTTTTCGTGACCGTAACAAAATTTGTGCGGTATGAAATTAATAAATATCAACCTATAAGTACAAATTATTAATGTATTCAATAATTTTAATAGTTTTTTCAAACGAATATGTTTTGTAACTTTGAAATTATAATGACGTTGAATGTTTATGCTTGAATTAATGAATTATTTAATTTCATTGGTCATTTTGCTGTAAAAAATTAAATACATCAATTTAACCCAGTATATTGATGTGTGATTACAAAGCCACACGGGTCTATAGGTGGTTAAAACATGCTTACTGTTTTATCATGTTATAATTTTAATATGCTTATTGTTATAAATTAATGCATGCAGTTTAGTTATACATTGAATAATGTTAAAAAGAATTATGTAACAACAAAGTTAATAAGCATGATAAAAAAGATAATAATGTCCATTTAATACACAGTGAAAGTTAAAACCTATATGGTTTACCTGGACGAGGACACACTATAAATTATGTGTCTCATATAATAATAGGCATATTACAATAATATTTATCACACAATTAAGTACCTTATATAGTAGCAGTGATAGTTACTAATATTGTTGATACAATACGATAAGTATTATAAATATAACTATTTCAGCCCCGAGTGCATTTTATTAAAATATTTCTAATGGTTAAGGCGAGTAGTTTTATAGTTAACGATATAATAATTATGTTTTCTTCTTCAGTTACGTTAGTAAAGCTTTCCATCATTTCAATATGGTTTTAGTGTCTTCAGAAATTACTTTACAAAGTATAATGCATACAATTCTGTAGTCTACTTACAAATTCTTTTTGCCTTAGTTTATATTTTTTGTTTTAATTATGAACAGAGCTATAGGGTTAATGCTTTTTCAAGATGAAATGTTTCCAGCTATTCATCTTGTAGTTTATTTTATGTGTCAAATTAACATCAAATTGACCGTTACTTTGACGTTATTATAAAGAATTATTTAAATTCTCTACGAATAATAACGAATGTACAACGAATTACAAAATGCAAATGATAGAGTGGTTGAATTCTTTGCGGTCAACTGTACACATGCCTACTGCGTATTCATTTAGTTCTTTGATTCTGTACTCATTTGTAATGGCACATTTTTTAACCCACCCAAGAGTAACGATCGATTTGTATTCGGCATTTGATTATTGCTTATTTGCTATGAGGTAGGGTTTGCTAAGTTCTTCGATTGTATGGTAATTCTACATTGCATACATGTGTATTAGTAGGCTGCGATAAGACTTCACCGAGAACACGGGTAACTGTAATTCAGGTTATGTTTTACATATCAATTTTTTATTTAAAGTTACAATTTTGTGAGTAAATTTCGTATTTCCCTTATTATTTCACTTTCTTGATTTTAACGTACCCTGTAGAAAAAATAAATTTTGAAAACGATGATAATTGATTACTGAAATACCTGTTTTTTAACGTATTTGCTGGGTATTATTTCTTATGAGTAATATTAATCATTTCAAACGACAGCATGTACATTATTCATATTAATTAGACCGAAGGTAATTCTAAATATTTTACAGATTTTACAGGAAAATTACAAACATTTTTTCGTGTAAAAGAATTGCCGCACAAGACCGTAATTATAATAAATTACATTCATTTTATAATTATAAAGGTTAAGTTACTTCTACTATGTAGTTTATGAATATTATAATTAAATCACTGACAAACTTTTTCCCTTGATTACATATTGTGTTTAACTCAATATAATCTCTTACCTTAGGATTTCTTTTGTACTTATCTTTCTTTTTTGTATATTTTAAGTTGCGT